ATCCTTCCAACCTGCAAAGATATGTATTAAGTCTAAATATTTGGGGCAGAGAGTTAGAGCTGGGAAAATTTGTAACTAATGACTTATTTCTGCTCTGTTTATGATACCATTTGCTGCCTTTGACTATTGGTTAAATAGTTTTAGTTCTCTTTGTATTTTACTGTGCAGAATTATATATCATTATTTGTTTACATTCATGATACCTTCTTGTTCAAAGGCAACTCCTATGCTGGTAAATTTGGAATAAACTGTTGACTTTAGTTTGTAATAGGGCCTGATACTTAGGTAACATTAATAAAGTAGATAAACGTTTAGATGATTTTGTTGAGGCAGGTAATGTCTCTAGCAATGAAAGAAGTGAGTATATTTACAGATCTATCTATCTATCTATCTATCTAATTTATAATCATCATATATCAATTAGGAAGAAGGAGAAGGAAGAAGAGGACAAAGAGAATGAGGAAGAAAAGAAGGAGGAGGAGGAGAAAAGGTTAAACAAGCAAATGAAAGAAATCCTCATAATATTTGAAGTAACAGAACTTTGAGTATCAAAACAGTATGTTACAGAAACAACGGGACATGAAACAGTAATATTCTGAGTTAGGTGAAGAAGAATTAAATTAAAAAAAAAAATAGGCTGGGCACAGTGGCTCACACCTGTAATCCCAGCACTTTGGGAGGCCAAGGCAGGCGGATTACCTGAGATCAGGAGTTCAAGACCAGCCTGGCCAACATGGTGAAACCCTATCTCTACTAAAAATACAAAAAAATTAACTGGGTGTGGTGACACATGCCTATAACCCCAGCTACTCGGGAGGCTGTTGTGGGAAGTCAGGGACCCCATACAGAGGGACCAGCTGAAGTTGCGGCAGAAGAAAATAAATTGTGAAGATTTCATGGACATTTATTAGTTCCCCAAATTAATACTTTCATAATTTCTTACACCTGTCTTTACTTCAATCTCTGAACATAAATTTTGAAGATTTCATGGACACTTATCACTTCCCCAATCAATACCCTTGTGATTTCCTATGGCTGTCTTTAATCTCTTAATCCCATCATCTTCATAAGCTGAGGAGGATGTATGTCGCCTCAGGACCCTATGATGATTGCGTTAACTGCACAAATTGTTTGTAGAGCACGTGTGTTTGAACAATATGAAATGTGGGCACCTTGAAAAAGGAACAGGATAACAACAATGTTCAGGGAACAAGGGAGATAGCCTTGAATTCTGACTGCCGGTGATCCGGTGGAACAGAGCCATGTTTTTCTTCTTTCAGAAGCAAATAGGAGAAATATCGCTGAATTCTTTTTCTCAGCCAGGAACATCCCTGAGAAAGAGAATGCGCCCTTGAGGGTAGGCCTATGAATGGCCCCCTTGGAGGCGGCCGTCTCTTAGGGTCGAAGCCGAAGACATGAAATAAGCCCCGGTCTCCTGTAGCTCTCCCAGGCTTATTAGGATGAGGAAATTCTTACCTAACAAATTTTGGTCAGACAGGTTGTCTGCTCTCAAACTCTGTCTCCTGATAAGATGTTATCAATGACAATGCATGCCTGAAGCTTCATTAGCAATTTTAATTTCACTCCATCCTGCAGTCCTGTGATCTTGCCCTACCTCCAGTTGCTTTGTGATATTTTATTACCTTGTGAAGCGTGTGATCTCTGTGACCCACACCCTATTCTTACACTCCCTCCCCTTTTGAAAATCACTAATAAAACTTTGCTGGTTTTACGGCTCAGGGAGCGTCACGGAAACCGCCAACATGTGATGTCTCCCCCGAACACCCAGCTTTAAAATTTCTCTCTCTTGCACTCGTTCCCTTTTTTTTTATCAGACCAGCCAACGCTTAGGGAAATAGAAAAGAACCCATGTTAAATATTGGGGGTGGGGTTTCCCCTGATAGGAGGCTGAGGCAGGAGAATTTTTTGAGCCCGGAGGTGGAGTTTGCAGTGAACCGAGATCCTGCCACTGCACTCCAGCCTGGCCAGCAGAGCAAGACTCTGTCTTAAAAATAAATAAAATAAAATAAATAAATAAATAAATAAATAAATAAATACGTAGAGTTTTGCCAGGAGTCAAGTGTTGATTTTCATCTTCACATATTAAATGCAGTCACATGTTAAATATTGCAAGTACAAGGTATGCAATTTATGAAAGTCAGTAACACTTGACATGTAAAATTCACTAGAAAACCTAACATTAGTTTATTTGTTTTTCCTGTGGCTAATGGTCATCATTCATATTTCACTTACAGAATGATGGCATTAAAAATTTGCGGATTTTAATTTTCCAGCTTTTCCCCAACACTCCCTGTTAGTAGCCCTGGCTACTATACTTCCTCACAACTGTTATAAACACGCTTTCCACCAATCGTTCTCAAATGTCTTTTTCCACATGGATCAGTAAATTTATAACAAAAGAGGGTTTCCAATTTCTTATTGTATCAAGTAATAGTATTACAATAAAACATCACCATAATTTTCAAAAAGAATGTACTATTTTACCAAATTTAGAAAAGACATAAGCCTAGAATAACATTCTGAATAAATATAAAGAACAAATTTACAATATATATTAAAAGCAAGAAGGGAATATGTAAACTTGTTTGAAGTAGAAAAAGCAACATGTGCAATCTTAGTGTATATAAAACTTTTATGTCATATCTTAATTATACAGAATATATTTAGTAAATGTTAACTTTCTTCCATAACTTTTATTTTTATAATGTTAAAATGTTATAAAATGTTGCAGTAGCATTGCTGTTAGTGAATCCTTTGTACCCTCACCAAACCCATTCCTCGTTTTTGTAATCATTTTACTGAAATTGGACAAAAATTCTCCCCTTTCATTTACATACACACATACACACACACATACATACACACAGAGCACACATTCATAAAAAATATTTAGTGATTTTCTTGAGTGCTAAAAATCTTCACATAAATGTAATATCTGGAAATCTGTCTGGGGGAAGGTTGCCCGATGTATTATTTTCTTCAGATTTATCATTATTGATAGATGGAAATTAGGTTCACATAATTTTCTTATGGCTTTACATTATATACCTTTTGACAGCTTACAGCGATATCCTCTTTTTCATAAGTATCTGGGGCTTTTTACAATGTGCTGTGTTTATACTGCACTGAAATCTTAGGTATGTGTCCTCATCACAAGTATGAATGTTTCCATATAGAGGGGAAATTCCTGGATGGTTGAGTATGTGCATTTTCAACCTCCTCGATAATGCAAAGTTTTCACCACAAGTAGATATGTCAATTTACATTTCCTAATATAGTGTATGGGAGTTTTCACTTGCCACTATCTTCATAAACTTCTATCATTGCCAGATTTTATACTATTTCTTGTTCATATGATTTTTTGGTTTAATTTACAATAATTAATTATGTTATTAAATTGATTATATTATGAAATTTAATAGTGATTATGAAATGTAATTAAAATATTAAAATTAATATTAAACTCTAAAAGATCATTTAAAAGTAGAATTTGGAAACTTGTAAAGAATTATAAATATTCCTCAATGTCAAATTTGGCTGTAGTGCTATAATCCCTTCAATTATTACTGGAAAATGATAGAAAAATACATGAGTTGCCAAGTTTCACAAAAGCAAAGTTTTAGTTTTTTTCTCCAGAATTAGATTGCTTTTATAGAATGTTTTGTATTTCCTCAACTTGATGATCATGCCATTCATCAAGTTTGAAAAAATTTACCCTGTTTTTCTCTTTGAATTTTGTCTCTCTCTACTTAATTTCCAGACTTCCCATTAAACATATGTCAGAGCTTCTCATTCTGTTCCCCATTTCTCTTGTATTTCCTTCATTTTTTTCATATCTTTATTTCTTTATGCTACCTTCTAACTTTTTTATTCTCATATTTATTGTTCACTTTACAGCCTCATTAACATTAACAGAATTATAACTTAACCCTATTGGTTTAGTTTATTTCCTTGTATTTCTATCTAGTATTAATAGCTTCAGGGACACAACATGGGAATAGTAAAAATTCCTTTTGCATACCACACTCTTGTTATTGAAATATGATTGGTTTGCTTTTTTTTTTAATTTAAATTTTGATGTAGTGAACTCATACAAACCTAAAATCTAAACATGAAGTAGGTCCATGAAAATATTCTCTTTGAATGAACCACAGCATGCATACCAGCAACGTGATCTCTTGCATATCACTCCTCTGGTGTCACCTTACTCTTATTTTCTCCTCATACCTCTTAATTCCTTTGTTTCACTGTCTCTGAGGTTCTTTCTTTTTCTTTTTTTTTAAACCAACTTTGTGATTTTTATTGATGGGCGACAACTTTATACTCCTAGATATCACTAAACTGTGTACAATTAGGGATACAGCATTAGAGAAGAGCAGACAGCAGAATTAAACAGAGCAGACTGAAGGAGAGATCTTCATTATTTGCCCATTTTTCATTATGTGTACACAGAAGCATGAATGCGATTTGAAATCATTTAATGACAATAAAGTTACAATCACCCATCTATGTAGACTAACATTTTAACTCCAAATATTTGATCTGCAATGTGTATGTAAGCAGTTTCTCTCCAAGCAATTATTAAAATTTTCCCTGTTAGGAACCAGCAACTTATTTTTTATGTTTATTTTTCTTTTGAAGTAAGAACTAGTTCTTCTTTGATAACTGGCTCATTTTTATCATTTAACAAATCTAAAGGCTAGGGAAGAAAAGTGTGACGGATTAAAAAATTTCTTTTTTAAGGAAAGAGAAAATTCATTTTCACAAATTTACAAGTGTTGTTGCTGGTGCAGGACTTATTCTACTAAGCAATGAGACTGGGGATCAAATCCGCTTTCTTATCTAAGGAATCAGCCTTATTTCAGAAATATGGGTTTTTGTGGATTTTCTAAAATCAAGCGACAGTCTGTTTCAACCAAATGATTTTGATTTGGAAATTAGAGTCAACAGAAACTATGTAGTGCACGAACCCCAAGGCATCTCCTTTTCGTTCTAGCCCATTCTTGCAAAGGGAGAAAGAGTTTCTCTCTAAAGAGCCACTAAAGAGAGGCGGAAAGTGAGTGTGAGGTGGTGTCCTACGAAGCGGGCACTGGGCGCACACACAGGGCACAGAGGGTTTACACCAGGTCCACTCGGCGGTAATACAGGAGGTAGGCTGTGCGTTCAGCAGTTGGTTTCACCACCTGGTACTGGCTGATCACCTTGAGTGTCTGGTCATCAATGCGCAGCCAGCCATTCAGACCGATCTGGAAGACGTCTGTAGTGGATTGGCCTCCCGTCGCACTGTTGCCCTGATGGTAGACCACTGCAACGAGCCAATAGGTTCTGTGGCATTTAAAATTCTTATTTTTAACCCCTGGAGAAAGCAGTTCTTTACTAATTTCCAAGTCCACAGGATATTCAATATTTTTGATAAGCTTCTGGCACCCACCAGTCTTCTCATAAACGAATCGTTTCAGGTGTAGCACAAGGAGAGGAGGGAGTTTTTCCAGTCACTCTTCGACTATCTCAACTTCTTGTTTGGTTTTTGTGGTATAACCTTGGACAGATTCTCTTGTCACCAAGCTCTCCAGTGCGTCCTGGGGTGTGCGTATCTTGTTACACTGGATATCCTACTGCAATGTGAAAAAATGGCTGCAAAGTGGCAGATTCTTTTGAACTCTGCTAGTAAACCACAGACCAAAAATGCCGGTGACTGGAGTCTGAACAAACTCCGCCTGGCGGGTGACGGAAGTCTTGTTCCAGGGGTCCACTTGCTCCCATTCATCCTTGCTTTCTTCACCTTGTTCTTCCTGCTCTTCTTCATTAATAGAGTGGTTTTGGGGGCCATTGGAAATCGTAAGTTTTTCATTATTTGGTGGGAGAAGCTTCTTTAGGTTCAACATTTCTTCATGAAGTCCATTTAGGATGAAGCCTAAGTATTCCTCAGCATCATCTTGTCGACCCTTTTCAGGCAGGCTTGACTTGTTAACTGTCAGGAGTCTGTAAATACATGTGGGCTCAAAGGCAGCTCCAGGGTGAATGCCCCTGACGATTTTATCTCCAAGAGCTTGTCGGGGTTTTGGAGGTATGGCATATTAGTAAACTCATTCATTAGCCGAACAAAGCTGTCTATCATGGGTGTTGACGTACGAGGCCTTTGCACTTTGGAATACAGAGGAATGAACTTCATCAGGTGGTACATTGGCGGGCAAGCAGCCAGTGCCTGCAGTGTAGCATTAATGTATCACCACTTCCCTTTACTGATCAGCCCGTGGGGTTGCAACGACACTGGTTTATGGATTAAGGTTGCATTCTCCAGTCACTGCAATCTTTATGGCTACAGGATCCTCTGAAACTGGAACAAGCCCTTCTTTGACTTCAACCTGCTTTACAGAAACCAGGAGAGATAGGCGGGAGGGGAATACTTAGTTTCCACATAGGCCACCAGCGAGGAGGAAGAGGGCTTAGAATCATGAAACAGACTGGCCCAGGACTTGGGCTGGGTGACAGGAAGGGTGCCTGATGTAGAGCCCGTGCCGTCAGCCGGAGGTGATGCACTCTCGGGTTTGGTTGGGTCCAAGTCTATGCTTTCTGTGGTGTGCAACTCCACCCCGTTGGTAGCTGTGCGCTCACCCGAGGATTCAAGTATTTGCCCATTAGCAACTCCAAGGTTTTCAGTAGTATCGGTACCAACGCAGGGCTGAGCCCCAGCTGTCCTTGCCAGGGTGTCTCTGTCAGCCTCTGTAGAGAAGCAGGACTGGCCAAAATTAGCCCCGGGGACCCCCTCCGGCTACCCTGCAGTCCTGGTGTCACTGCCGAGTGCTCCGGGGAAAGGACTGTCAGGCACAGTGTCACTGACAGAGTCCGTGGAGTTCTGGGGGCTGTTACAAGTCCTGGGAGTAACGGACGGGGGCATGTCACCCATAAATTCTGCAACCTCTGCACTGACACTGTTGGGGACTGCCGAACTGGCATGGCCATTGACCAGGGCTTTTGTGGAAATACTATCATCACCACCATCTTTCAAATAGCTGTAATATCCAGGTGGCCACTTTTTCTTCTTTTTACGCTCCCTTTGTCCGAGACCACTTGAGACACCATCATTTTCCAAAACTTCCGCCTCCACATTAGAACTTCCATCCAAAGCGAGGGCAGAGCCTGGGTACTGGCAGTCGATGGAGCCATAGTTTGCTTCTTTAGTGATACCATCAGGGGTTGTTTTGGAAGTTCTACAATTGAGAATAAATTCAGGGGCCTGAGGGTTCAGTGTGCTGGAAATACTGTAGCTAGGGGTTCTCGGCAACGTGTCACTGGATTCAATGACTTCATTGACACCAAACTCAACTCTCTGATATTCTTGTCCATCAGGTAGTTTATCCACAGCCTGTGTGCCACACAGAACTGTTCCACTGTACGGAGGAAGCTCAACTGAAGATCGAGGAGTCACAAAGAACTGATTGAATTCGTCAGGGCTAAAATCTCCACAAATATACTGCGGGCTGTGGAGGGCCGTGGCTGCGCGTTTCAATGGGACTCCGCGTTCCTCCGCCTGCTCCCGCTGCTTTCCCCGCCGCCGCCATCTTCTCGCCGGCACATGCACCGCCTCTGAGGTTTCTCCAGTGAACAAAGCTGTTTATTTTAATTGTGAGATAGCAAAATATATTGAGCTTTATTTTTGTTGCAAATAATTTTTGTATCACAGTTGTGAATTGTTTTTAATTTATTTGTTTTTCTGATTAAACTCTCATACCCTGGGAGTTTAGGAGAGATTCAATGTAATATTTCTGTTTTTATTTTTGTTACTGTTTGAGACGAAGTCTCGCTCTGTCACCCAGGTTGGAGTACAGTGGCATGATCTCGGCTCACCGCAGCCTCCTCTTTTCGGGTTCAAGCAATTCTTCTGCTTCAGCCTCCGGAGTAGCTGGGATTACAGGTGCCCTCCACCACGCCGGGATAATTTTTTGTATTTTTTACTGGAGACAGGGTTTCACCATTTTGGCCAGGCTGGTCTCAAGCTCATGATCTCAGGTGTTCTGCCATCCTTGGCCTCCCAAAGTGCTGAGATTACAGGCATAAGCCACCGTGCCTGGCCTCAATGTAATATTTCTTTCCCCCTCTTACAATTAAATAGTTCATCCCTTTCCCAAAGCCAGATATACAGATACGCAAATACACATTCCCCATTTAAAAGTGTACTTCTATGGGATTCACTTTCCTAAATTCTACTTTCCTTTTGCTACTCATCATTTAGACTTGTGAAAAGTCAACTACTTTTCTCTCTCGTTTTACCTTCACTGTGCCTTTAGGAAAAATATGAAAATATCCCATGAGGGGAACTAAAATCCTTACCTCAAGTTTCCTCATTTAACTTCAGGTTAAAGTCTTTGCTCCTAGCAAGAGACATTGCAGTTTATACCAGGATTGAATACTTGCCAACTCAATCAAGTATCTATATTGTTCTACAATGTGGAGTTATACCCAAATAGATATAATGCTAAAATTTTTCTAAATCTTGAGTTTCTAAGGGCAGGTTTTATATAATTCATATTGAATATCCTTATGTCATAGATAAAGGTAAGTAGGTAGTGTCCTCTGTCAGATATCACAACATTTTTAATAAAATGAGATTTATAACAATGAGTATAAATATATATATATATTTTTAAAGGTTTTAGAAGCATAAGAACTTTTATCTCTCAGAGAAACTCTAAAAATGAAATCGTGGTATTCCAAGAAAATAACCAACTGTACATTATCAGATTTTTTATTGTTAAACATAATTGGTTGTCTCATATTCTGATTTTAGAAAACATATATTTTTACTGACATTAAATATACTCTGGGGAAGGGTTAGAGTGCAAATCATCAAGATCTAGGACATTCAAAATTATAGAAATTTCTATTCTTATCTGGAAGCATGCCTTTAACTGAGTTGAATTTAAACGCACATAAACACACACACAATCTTAAATATATCAGTCTTATTTTTAGTCTGTGGGATAGATATGCAAGGAGGTCGTGTTTGGATTAGAATCCCAGAATTTGCATTGAAAAACAACATGTTTTGCACCTGCATGCTCCCCTAGAGTAATTTAATGTTACAATTTCTGACAAGATAATTCCATCTTCACTGTAGTTGACTTTGCAGTAAGCTGTAGAGAGAAAATAAACGTGAACATACATTGGGGTAGAAAAAAGTATATTTAACAAAAAGGAACTTAGCACATAAGCTACAAGACTCAAAATTGGAGAAGAATGACAAAAGGAGATACAGAATCCAAATCATAATTTTGTCTTTCTCTCCCTTCGAAAGACCTGTGCTGTGTGTATGCAGCTGTGTGTGCACAGTATGTCTGCATCGTGCACCCATCACTTAGCACTCTGCACAAAAAGTAACTTTGTTGTTGGAGGAATATTCTGCGGCAGCACATCAGCATTTTAGGACAAAAACAAAGGATGCCACAATCTTTTCTGGGAGCATTTGGGAACAGTGAAAAAAAATATAACATTTCTTGCTTCAAGCAAGCTGAAAGATAAAGGTTAAACTTTAGCTGTTGAAGTCCTGGAAGTAGATTCACAGGGAGGCACGTGGACTCACACTTCTACCCATATTCCTGTTCACCATTTGGGATCCATTTTATTTTTCTCTTATTTTTTTTACGACAATTTCAATGGAATCCCCAGTCCATGTAGGAAAGTGTCCATCTGAAATCCTTCTCAAAATTGAACTCACATTTGGTTTCCCAACAGGAGATGAGGTTAGGTAACCTAGATGAGCAGTAGAATGATTTCTTTGTGGCTCTGGACTAACTCTTATTTTCCACTTTTAGAGAGAAAAGTATGACTTGTCACATCTTGCTACTCTATGATTTTTCTTTAATTAACCAATTTCTGAAGCAATGGTCATAAGTGGACAATTTGCAAGTAATTTTGAAATATTCTTTAAGTATGTTATACTATACTAAGCCTTACAGTTCTGAAAAGGAGACAAGTCAATTAAATAAGATTAGCTAGGTGAGAAAAATACTATGCTCAAATACTCAAACAATATTCCATCCTCAATATTATTTTTTCAAAGGTGTGCCAAAAAGCTGTGATTAAACTGGGTCAAATTCAGTGTCGTTTGAAGACTCATGAGTGTACAGAATAGAAATTAATCTAATAACATATGTTCAACCCCAGAGGAGAAAAGTTATCAAAGACTGAACAGTCTGAATACATTTTAGTCTCTCCCAAATTCAAAATTATATGACCCACCCTCCACCCTTCAAAGGACAATTTGTTGAGAAGTGGAAAAATGCTATGGGTTTATATTTCAGTATATAACTCTTCTTAGAATCATGGAATCACAAGCTTTGATAAAATTCTTGTAATTATTTTATCCAACTCAATCAAAGTTTGAGTTTGAGTTACTTTTGCATCCGTATTCCTACAGTTCTAATTACAGGGCATTTCTAATTATTAGAATACTTATATTTTGAGAGCCCAGAGTCATGAGAAACAATAAATGGGTTTGACAGACTAAATTCTAACAACAAATAAAGAAAAAAAATTAGAAATTTTTGCAAAAACAAAGGTGTGGTCAGTAGAATAATGCCCCCCTCCTCTGACAACCCCTGCCATGCCCTCAGATTTCTGTCCAGATCCCCATAACCTGTGAATACTTTATGCTACATAGCAAATGAGACTTGAGATTGCTAATCAGCTAACCTTACCAAGAAGAGTATCCTAGCTTAGATTTTCTGGGCGGACCCAATGTGAAACAAGGGCTTTAAAAGTGGGAGAGGAAGGCAAGCAAAACAGAATGGGAGATATGAGGACAGAAGCAATGCCAGAGAGATGAGGTGTGGGAGATACTGAACCAGTATTGCTGATTTTGTGGGTGGAAAAATGGGCCACCAGCCAGCCAGTGTGGCAGCTTGTGGAAGTTGGTAGATGCAAGAAAAAAAAATTGTCCCTGAGAGCCTCCAGGAAGAAGCACAGCTCTACCAACACCTTGGTTTCAGCCCAGTGAGACCAATGTCCGCCATCTGACCCCCCAGAACTGTAAAATATTAAATTTGTCCTGTGTTTTTATCAGTTTTGTAAGTTTATATGCAAATATAGCCTATTTTTCAAGATGATGTACATCACTAGGTAAATTAGATTTGCTTGATGTATCCATATCTGTATCTATTATGTTAAACTGATGTCAAACTGGAGCAGCCTTCAAATTACAGGTCAAAGGGCCTGCCACTAGCAGGGCAAATGGTAAAAGGACACTAACTTACATGGGCTTCACATGGAGTTCATGTGTTTTTTCCTTTGAAGTACTTCATACTATGTTAGGGATAAGAGTAATGTTCTTCATTTTTCCTCCTGCATGAAACATCAATGCCTTTCAAGAACTGCTTTATTTTGATGGGATTAGAAAGGAACTATGCTGTGACTTTAATTTTCTCTAATTATTGACTACCTTAGTAGCTTTTAGCCAGGAAATTGTTATAGCAGCAAGAAACTAATACAAAAGGATTATAAAACACATCATGGTACAATATGATGCCTTGAACAATGATTAATAGAAATAAAGAGAGAAAATTTTATTTGTCTCCTGTGGCAGGGTCCTTCCTCTCAGGATGGGTCAAGATCCATGATTCGGACTCATAGATATTAAAAGTAATCCCAGTACCCCACACTGTCCAGAATTGGACCTGGCCAACATGGTCTCTAAAATGTACATGAGTCCAGGCTTGGTTATAGTGCAAGGAAAAAAGGTATCGTCACAGCCTGGCAAGGGAAGTTAACGTGGGAGAGGGAAGACACGGTGGGTACACCAGTAACCCTCTGAAAGATGGGAATTCAGACACACATTGTGGAAAATGATGGCCTAGAAATAGAGGATCACATGCACTGCTTAAAGAAATCTCACAAAAGATGAAGTAACATAAATATTACTTCTTGTGGAAAGGGTTTGAATGAAGTAAATAGAGAGCTGTGGAAGCAACTATCAGAAGAATCAAAAAGGAGCTGAGGGACTTGCCGCTGTGTGATGGAACACAGAGGGAAGGAGACAGCTTACTGCTGCTTTTATGCACATGCTTTCCCATACAATTTGATATAGAAAAAGTTTATACATTCATTTTATTAAAAGTCAATTTTTTTATAAATAAAATTCTGATTTATGCTTTTTGACAGAATTTTTTCGAGCCCAAAAGTGAATAAGGATGAATTTGAATCTCTCTGATAGCACTTACTATTAGTTTTAGCTTACATAAAGTATTATTTATTTTCCAAAAATAGGGACAAATAATAGGACTGACATAAATCACAGATATGTATATATCAAGCTATTATTTCCATATTGTGGCCAAACAATTGATGAAGGCAAAAGTCAAATCACAACACTTTTCTAATTCCATCAAAATAAAGCTGCATTTGAAAGGTATAGATATTTCATGTAATAGGAAAAATGAAGAACTTTACTGTGATCCAGGATCTAGTATGAAGTACTCCAAAGGAAAGACCACATGAATGCCATGTGAAGCCCACGTACGTTAATGCCTTGTTACCATTTGCCTTGCTAGTGACAGGCCCTTTGGCGTATGATCAGTAATATGGAGGCTGCTCCAAGGGGTTTGTCATCCGTTTAA